CAGATCAGCATTGAGTACTATCAACATTTGTTAGATGGAATGAAAAAGACAGCAAATAATGTCAATGTTAGTAATAAAATGGAATGTAGATTTATTGAACTACCATTACAACCATCACGATTTTCACAATACTATAAGAAATTAAAATAATTCACATTAATTCAAAGTCGAATCGAAACTTTTCATTGAGATTTAATATTCGGTTTATATATGATCAAAATTTCAATTAGTTACTCTCAAAAGAAAATTATTGTTTATTATCTTTCCTCATGTAATCCTAATCAGCTTTACAATTGAATACAAATTAAATTAACATATGAATATACATCTTCCTTGTTATTAGATTGTATTGTTATCTCGGATAAACATATTCACTGCACAGTCCTTATTTGATGACATGACAAATAACTGTACTATTATAATTATTAGGAAAACGTGTTTTAGCGATACTTATTCTCTGATGTTCCTTCTTCTAACACTGATCTATGAAAATGTATGGAATATCAATTTGTTACTATGTAGTAGGAGAAATACATTTTTTCCCTCTCTCTCGATCTAAGTATACAGAAAATCTGGCAAGATTTCGTTTTTTATCTATCAAAAACTATGAATTTCAATAATAACTTACACAAACAGCTACTTCAAGACCGACTTCATCGACGAAATATCGACAACCTTGAGCAACACCTAATGTCGATCGTGATGCACATGAACGTATCACAGTCTTCCATCCTTTTGCTAAAATAACGAAAAAAAAATCAATAAATAAATCAAAATATTTCATTATTCATATTTACCATAAAATGTATCATAACTTTCTTTAACCATTTTCATACACATATGTCCAGGTACATATGATTCTAAACTAAAACAATCGACAAGTGCATTTTTTGTTTCATCAAATTTGCCAAAAGCTGGACAGAATTCATCTTCTTCACTACTACATTGATAACATTGAATACACTCAACTAAAATCATTTAGATTTATTGATATTAAAAAAAAGAAGATTTGACAATTTCGATTTACCAGGTATTTGTTGAATATAGATTAATACAAAAAATATTATAAATATTAAATTCATAATCAAATTTGTTCAATGAATTGTTTTTTAGATGAATCAAACAATAACCTTGAACTATTTTTTTCAATGTTCTTTCTTTCGTTTGACAGAGATTGAGTGACCTATGTTCGCCATATATGATGTTGAGTATACCTTCATCACATTTTTTTATTACCTGAAGATTGTTGATTGGAGAGAGTTGTTAACAAATCATAGAACTGTCCGAAGAGAACAGTAAAAATTTTTTGCATTCATTTCAAATTTGTACATAGAAAAAGATGAAATTTCTTTCAAAATCGAAAAAAATTTCGAAGTATATGATATCAATACAAGATAGTAACCATTTGATAAGAAATAAATAATTTACTTTTCAATAAAAAATATTTACGAGACATTTGACGAAGAAAAATAATCTTAAAAATGTAATCGTTGTAATGTTTCAATATACTAATTGTGAATATTTAACTAATGCTTTTGTTGGTTAAAGTCAAAAAATAACATATTTATATTTATATTCATTACTAAATTGTTTCTAGGTAGAAGGTAAGCTATCTTACAATTTTTTTTCGATTCTGAAGGATAGAGAAATTGAATATTGTAATAAATCTAGTCTGAAAGTTTCGATCGGATCGAATTCAACGGTGAGTTGGTATTAGAGTTCATCACATTAAATTTCAAACCAATTAACTGTCATCGTAGAATAAGATTATCTAAAACGGTATTCATCGATGCAAATGACACAAAACAAACGTCTGATGTTCAAAGAGTAACTATTAAATTCTGATATAAAACATTGCATAAAAAATCTTTAAAATACGATGTAGATTTCAGTTGGAAATTTCCAAATAGGCTCTTGTTGAGAGTTTAACTATTGCATCCGTGATGGATTTAGCGGAGAAGGGGGTGCGATCGCACTCAGTCTCATTTGTTTTTCCTAGAAAAAATGGTCTCGAAATCAGTAGATGATATATCGAATGGGGGCGATAATACGAATTTTGATCTAAATCGTATCCCCCATCATACAAATCCTAGATCCGCCACTGCTTTATGCATATATCGAAAGAATAAGTCTGATTTATTTTTTAGTAAAATTACGGTGCAATATATTTTCTGAGAAGAAATATTGTCTTTTGAATTGTATAAATCTATTTTAATATGCTTTATGAAATTTGTATATTAAAATGAATCATTTCGAATAGTATTTAATTGTTGATTATATAATCAATTAATTAATTTTTATAACAAAAAACTATAGTGGAGGACACAATCTGATACTAGTTCTATTTAATTTTAGTGAATTTTCTATATACAAAATAGCGTCATCTGTTGAATATTAGGTGGTTCGATGAAAAAATCTCATTGGATGAAGCCTTCACATCACCTGACTGTCAACAAATAAGTAATAATAACGAGCAAAAAAAATAGCGTAGCAAAAAAAAGAGCAAATCATGTGAGAGCTTATATTATAAATTAAGAAACATTTTTTTATCGTTTTTATTTACATCAAGTGATCATGGCGAATGATCAACAACAGCTTGCATTAATTGAAAAACCTTTACATCTTAGGTGAGTCAATTTTATTTCGTTTTTTTAATAAATAGAATTATTTATTTTTAGTTATTTACGAGATTTTCGTGTTGAACAATGTCAATTATTTCTTCAACATAAATGTACTCAGTAAGAATATATTCAATCATTTTTATTTCTTATATTCATTCATAATCATATACTTAGACATCGCCCTTTTTCATGTTTTTATTGGCATTTTCAAAATCAACGTCGTCGACGTCCTTTTCGTCGAGCAGATGGCACATTTTCATATGATCCAGATTTTTATTGTAATGATTACGATGAACAAAGTGGTGTTTGTCGAAATGGTGATGAGTGAGTTCTCAAAAAAAAACACGAATAATCTTCAAAATATTTTTTCCCACTATTT